TCCATCCATATATACATCCGTCCATACATACATACATCCATATATACATAAATACTTACATACATCTAAACATTCAGTCAGATCAAGTCAGATTTATTTATAGAGCACATTTAAAACAGAAACTGTTACCAAAGTGCTTCACAAAAATATAACAACATCAAATAAAAAATAACAAGATCTAGTTAGAGCACATGGAATAAAAATAAAAAACAGAAAACATAATTAGAAACAATGAAATACTAAATCAGATCACCTTGTGTCAAAAGTCAAGGAATAATAGCAAAAAAGCACAAACTCAGTCAGAAACAATGAAATACAAAATCAGATCTGATGACCTTGTGTTAAATAGGAATAATAACAAAAGCATAAACAGAATCAGTGAATTTTTAAATCTAAATCAGATCACACTGTGTTAAATGTCATTGAGTATAGATCAGAGTCAGAGTCAGAGATTCTTTATTGTCATTTGCACCAAATGTGGTACATGTGGTGGAGCGAAATTAAGTAACCACTAATATCATAAAACATTACGTCGAACAGTATCAGGAACATGAGCATGAGTCTGTGTGAGCAGATGAGCACACATGAACACCTCAACATGAAACAGATCAGCAGCAACATGAAACAGATCAGCAGCAACATGATGTGATTTTTCACAGTGATTATTCTAGTTAGAGATTCATGAGTCTAACAGCCTCAGGGTAGAAGCTGTTCCTCAGTCTAGTGGTTCTACACTTAATGCTCCTCAACCTCCTTCCCGAGGGGCGTAGGGCAAAAAGTGTGTGTGCTGGGTGAGTGGGGTCCTTCATAATGCAGGTGGCCCTTGACGATGAGGTTGTTGTTGTGGGCTGGGCTGCAGTCATGGGTGTAGAGACAGTACAGCAGGGGGCTCAGCACACAGCCCAGTGGGGAGCCAGTGCTCAGCGTACGAGTGGAGGAGAGGTGGGGACCAAGTCTTACAGATTGGGGCCGATTGGTTAGGAAGTCTTTTATCCAGGCACATGTGAGGGGGTGTGATATAGGAATTTTGATGCTTTTATGTCAATTTATACTCATTTACATGTAGTTTAAAAACACACTTATACAACGTGTTATTCACATATTAGGGATTGTACTTTGTTTAACATGTCACAAAGACAAAGGGGGGAATGATTTATGTTGCCTTTGTTAATATTTGGGACATTCTTTGATGGTTTGCAGAGGGATGGAGGAGTGCGTATTTCCTCTTTAGGAAGTTTAAGGAGTATTTCTAACTTCAAGGTCTTGGCCCGCCTTGAGGTCACACTGCTCCTTCTTTGTAATAAATCACCAGCTCCTCATCCGTTGTTCTGGTAACCATCAAACTTGTTTTGAATGCTCTCACGCGATCCGGTCAGGGAAATGGTATAAAGGAAGTGTGACAGGCAAATTAATCTTCGGGAGTCCTGTGTGGATCAGCCGCGCGCTGGTGCCATGCGCCATTTTGATGTGATTCTTCTTTACCTGGGTCGAAAACGACTTCCCGGCCAGTGTCACGGTGAGAAGTTATTTCATATCAATTTGTGTGTTAAGAGTGTACGAGTGTACATGTTTTTTTGCTTGGCTGTTTTCTGTGGCAGGTTAATAAAGGACACTTATTACTCCTAGCAGTAAGAGCCTCTGTGTTTTATTTTTTCCCTCTGGTCTGAATATCTGTGCCGACCGTTCACGAGCCCTTTTGATAAAGAATTTCATAATACAGGGTGGAGGCCGAGATTGTCCAATATATTTATAAGAATGTCCGGAATGATTGTTTTAAAGGCCGAGCTGTAATACATAAAGAGCATTTGAACGTAGCTGTGCTGTTGTTCCAGGTGGCTCAGCGTGGCGTGGAGAGCTACTGCAATAGCATCCTCTGTGGACCTGTTGGTGTGATATGCAAACTGGTAGGGGTCAAAGTTCGGAGGGAGATAGTCCTTGATGTACTGAAGAACCAGTCTCTTGAAGCACTTCATGATTACCAGAGTGAGAGCCACCGGTCGGTAATCATTCAGGCTGGTGATGGTAGGCGTTTTCGGCACTGGGATGATAGTTGCAAATTTTAAGCAGGGAGGGATGACTGCCTGGGCCAGGGAGAGATTGAAAATTCTGGTGAAGGTGGGGGCGAGCTGCAAGGTACATGCTTTGAGCATCCTGCCAGGTACTCCATCTGGGCCAGTAGCTTTCCTGGGGTTCACTGATTAGAGTGAACGTCTAACATCATGCTCCCGTACAGTGAATGGAGTGGTGCAGTAACCGGGTGGGTGTGGGGGCAAGGCAGGATCATATGAGTGCTGCTGTGGTGCATCAAAGCATGCAAAGAAGCAGTTTAGCTCCTCTGCTAGTGATGCACTCAGGTCTCCTGTTGTCACCTCACAGCCTCTATATTTTGTTATGTTTTTTATGCCCTTCCACATCTCCCGTGAGTTGTTACTGGACAGATAGGACTCTATACTATTTTTATGGTCAGCCTTTGCAGTTTTTATTCCTTTATTCAGGTTGGCTCGAGGAGCTTGGTACAGAGCTCTGTCACCTGACCTGAAGGAAGCATCCTGGGCTCTGAGGAGTGTGCGGACCTGGCTGGTCATCCAGGGTTTCTGGTTGGGGTAAACCCGAATGTTTTTGACCATAGTCACATTTTCGATGCAGAACTTGATGTAGTCCAGTACCGTTACTGTGTATGTTTCCATCTCCTGATGTTCAAATAAGTCCCAGTTAGTTTGTTCAAAACAGTCCTGTAGTTCATCAAGTTCATTACCAGGCCAGTTTGTAACAGTTTTTAGCCCCTTATCCACAGGGCCTTTTGGGGCTCCTATGTAACTAGTTCGGGCCGATTGCGTGGTTTATCCACAATGCCTTCAGCGGTGGAACCCACCCCATTTTTGGGACCTACTTCTCTGAGGTCCCAGGTCTGGTTCTTGTTTGGTCTAGATGTGACATCAGCGCACTGTTGGTCACTGATTGGTCTGGGGGCGTATTCATTGGTGGAGGGCGGAGATCAAGGAGGTCATCCATTTTGGTTGTGTGTTGTTTTCCGGCTCTTCTTCTTCTAATACATGTTAATGGTGCTTAGAAAAGAGCTTAATGTAGCATTAGCGCCACCAGCTGGTAAGGTGCGTTGATATTAATAATCCGCCCACTAGAGGTGAACAAACTGCCCACTAAACGGGAACTATGGGCACTGTGGAGACAGAAAAAAAGAGGTCCCACCAGAACCGGACACAACAGGGTCCAACAAGAACCGGCCCTGTGGATAAGGGGCTTTTGTTGTAGGCCTCACTCTGCGTCTGAGTGGGGTGTAAGCTGTGGGGAGCAGGAGGGAAAGATGGTCTGACTGCCTGAGGTGGGGGAGAGGTATGGCTCTGTATGCATGTTTAATGTTTGAGTAAACAAGATCCAGAGTGTTCTCCCCTCTAGTAGAACACTTGACATGCTGGTAGAATTTTGGGAGTACAGTCTTCAGATTAGCCCTATTGAAATCTCCTACAATTATATGAACACCGTCGGGGTGAGCCCACTGCTGTTCATTTATGGTGTTCAGCAGGAGAGAGAGCGCCATATTTACATTAGCGTCGGGTGGTATATACACTGCAGTAATTATCACAACTGTTAGCTCTCTCAGTAGAAAAAAAGGTCGGTATCTCACGGACATGTACTCAAGGTCTGGGGAACAGTGATTATCTATAATTGTCCCATTGTAACACCAGTTCTCATGCACATAAATAAACAGCCCCCCACCTCTGCTCTTACCGGAGTCCACAATCCTGTCCCAGCGTAGCAGAGAGCGGCCTGCTAGCTGTATGCTAGCATCAGGTATCCTGGGGTGAAGCCAGGATTCTGTGATAATCAGAACACAGTAGTCACAAACAAAGCGATTTCATGCGAGTTGTAATTCCAAGTAATCCGTTTTATTCACCAGGGATCTGGCATTGGAGAGATAAAGGCTCGGTAGAGGTGGCTTGTGAGGTTGTGATCTTAGCCTTAGCATAATGCCATACCTGCAGCCTCACTTCTGCTTCCTCTCCCTTCTCCGTCTGCACCATCTCCCACGCCCGACAACAATCCACGGAGAGCCCGGTGATCTCGCTATGTTATCTGGGATGTTGTGGGTGTAATGAAAGTCACTCTAAACAGGTATTTGGTGCTGCTCACCGATGTCCAAAAGGGTTTGGCATCCGTAGTTGATGTTTGCAAACTCGGCAATGCAAACACATGAAAAAAGGACGTACAAAAATAGCATTAAAAAGAACTGAAAGGGAGAGCTGTGAGTTGCTGCAATCATGCGCGCTGCCATCTTGGAAATAAGATAAGATATATTAGAAATAAACTTATCTTAGATATCTTATATCTTAAATATCTTGGAAATAAGATATACAGTGCCTTGTGAAAGTATTCGGCCCCCTTGAACTTTTCAACCTTTTGCCACATTTCAGGCTTCAAACATAAAGATATAAAATTTTAATTTTTTGTGAAGAATCAACAACAAGTGGGACACAATCGTGAAGTGGAATGAAATTTATTGGATGTGTCAAACTTTTTGAACAAATAAAAAACGGAAAAGTGGGGCGTGCAATATTATTTGGCCCCCTTGCGTTAATACTTTATAACACCGCCTTTTGCTGCAATTACAGTTGCAAGTCGCTTGGGGTATGTCTCTATCAGTTTTGCACATGGAGACACTGAAATTTTTGCCCATTCTTCCTGCAAAACAGCTCAAGCTCAGTGAGGTTGGATAGAGAGCGTTTGAGAACAGCAGTCTTCAGCTCTTTCTACAGATTCTCGATTGGATTCAGGTCTGGACTTTGACTTGGCCATTCCAACACCTGGAAACGTTTATTTGTGAACCATTCCATTGTATGGAATGTCACCTCACTGGTGGGGAAGGAGCCTGAGCTGGTGTGTGAGGCTGAGAGGTTCTGGCTAGAAATAGTTGGACTCACCTCTACGCATGGCTCTGGCTCTGGAACCAGTTTCCTTGAGAAGGGCTGGACACTCTTCCCCTCTGGAGTTGCCCCTGGTGAGAGGCGCCGAGCAGGAGTGGGTATACTTATTGCTTCCCAACTTGGTGCTTGTGTGTTGGGGTTCACCCCGGTGAATGAGAGGGTGGCCTCCCTCCGCCTACGTGTGGGGGGACGGGTTCTGACTGTCGTTTGTGCCTATGCACCAAACGGCAGTTCAGATTATCCACCCTTTTTGGAGTCCTTGGAGGGGGTACTGGAAAGTGTACCTCCTGGGGACTCCCTTGTTCTGCTGGGGGACTTCAATGCTCATGTGGGCAATGACAGTGAGACCTGGAGGGGTGTGGTTGGGAGGAACGGCCCCCCTGATCTAAACCCGAGTGGCGTTCTGTTGTTGGAATTCTCTGCTCGTCATGGATTGTCAATAACGAACACCTTGTTCAAGCATAAGGGTGTCCATATGTGCTCTTGGCACCAGGACACCCTAGGCCGCAGTTCGATGATCGACTTTGTCATCGTCTCATCTGATCTGCGGCCACATGTCTTGGACACTCGGGTGAAGAGAGGGGCGGAGCTGTCCACTGATCACTACCTGGTCGTGAGTTGGCTCCGATAGTGGGAGAGGATGCAGGTCAGACCTGGCAGACCCAAACGTATTGTGAAGGTTTGCTGGGAACGTCTGGCAGAGTCTCCTGTGAGATGGAGTTTTAACTCCCACCTCTGGGAGAACTTCAAACATGTTCCGAGGGAGGTGGGGGACATTGAGTCTGAATGGACCATGTTTTGTGCCTCTATTGTCGAGGCGGCTTACTGGAGCTGTGGCTGTTGTCACCAACACTGTTTATAGTGGGAGTGGTGTGCTGCTGATCTCAACTCGGGATGTTGTGGGTCGGTGGGCGGAATACTTTGAAGACCTCCTCAATCCCACTGGCATGTCTTCCATTGAGGAAGTGGAGCCTGGGGACTCTGGGTCGGGCCCTCCAATCTCTGGTGCTGAGGTCACCGAGGTGGTTATAAAGCTCCTCGGTGGCAGGGCCCCAGAAGTGGATGAGATTCGCCCAGTTACTTAAGGCTCTGGATGTTGTAGGGTTGTGTTGGCTTACGCGACTCTGCAATATTACGTGGACATCAGGGGAAGTTCCCCTGGATTGGCAGACCGGGGTGGTGGTCCCCCTATTCAAAAAGAGGGACCATTGAATGTGTTCCAACTACCGGGGAATCGCGCTCTTAAGCCTCCCTAACAAACAACAAACTGCCTTTTTTGGACTGTTTGGTTCAGATGGAGAGAGAGGACAGCCTCAACATTGAAGTTTACAGAAAACCAACCCACACAGACCAGTATCTTCTGTTTGACTCCCACCATCCACTGGAACACAAACTCTCTGTCATCAGAAATTTACAACATCGGGCCGAATGCGTCCCCACGAAGACAGAAGGTAAGGAAAAGGAACAGAAACACATTCAAGAAGCTCTTCAAACATGTGGATATCCTAACTGGGCTTTTGTCAAGTCAGTGAGGAAATCTACAAAACACACTAATAAACTGCAAAAGGAGAACAACAGACATAAAAACATTGTCATCCCTTATGTTGCTGGAGTATCAGAGAACTTCAGAAGGATCTTCAACAAACACAAGATCCCAGTACATTTCAAACCCAGCAGGACTCTCAGACAGAGGCTGGTCCACCCTAAAGACAAAACACCCATACACAAACAGAGTGGTGTAGTGTATGCGGTCCAGTGCAGCGAGGACTGTCCGGACCTCTACATTGGAGAAACTAAACAGCCTCTTCACAGACGCATGGCTCAACACAGGAGAGCCACCTCCTCTGGACAAAATTCAGCTGTTCACCTCCATCTCACAGATAAGGGACACTCTTTTGAGGACCAAAATGTGCACATTTTGGACCGAGAACACAGATGGTTTGATAGGGGGGTGAAGGAAGCAATTTATTTAAAAAGAGAAAAGCCGTCTCTTAACAGAGGAGGAGGCCTCAGATTTCCACTTTCAAAAACCTATAATGCAACTTTAAAACAGATTCCCAGCCGGTTTTCACACCTGATGGGAACAGAGGGGCCTCATCTGTGAATTAGAGGAACAAAAGACTCCTACTGTTAATGTTGTTTAGGTGTGAATTGCCAATCTATATATGTGTATGTATGTATTATCTCACTCAGCCTTATAACCTGAATCTCTCACTCTCTGCTCTTTGAATTGAGAAAGCTCCTCGGATGAGGAGCGAAACGTCTTCTGTTACAAATAAAGTCCAGTTGTTTTTGTATTGAACGCTTTTTGAATTCATCATGTCCTGGATGACTGAGAATCTTCACCAGCATATTTTTCTATGAAATGTTACAGAAACAGGAAGTTCTGTGGGTTGTTGTTTAATATCATTGTGAGTTACTGAAATTACATGTTGTACTTGAGTGTGAGAGCAAGGCAGAAATGGGTGGTGTTTTCAGGTTCTGTGTTCAGATGGTTCTCCCTGCGAGTTTCAGATTACATGTGGAAAATCATCTGAACTTGTGTCAAATTCCATGTCTTTGTAGCTAAAACTAGATGGCTTCAAAATGTTTTATTGTTGGTTCTGGTTCAGGTACCGCGGCCGCCCCACCCCGGCCCCGGTCGGAGGCCACCTGGCACAGGAGAAGGTGGAGCAGCCCGACACCGGAGGATGCACTCACGCTTCAGAAGCCATGGTATCAAAACACCTCCTTAAAGCTAAAGAAACCAGGAAGAGCTGAAAAATACAAACGTCTTTATGCTGTTAGAATCCTTTATTTTACGTTGTGTTTCAAACCTGAATGTAATTAAAACTACGTTAAACTTACTGAAACCAAAAATCAAAAGTTTATTTTTCTGGAAGTGTAAACCCAAAGTCTGCTTCAAATCGATACATTGAAGCTCGATGCTGTGGAACGTTTTCAGTCTCGCCTGTAAATTAAGCTTTTTTGTGTCCATCAGGGAGTTCTGTGTCCCACCGGCTGCGAACTGAAGAGCATGCTGCTGAAACAAGAGAGGAATGTCAAGACGGTGCGTTTGATCCCTCAACCATGGTCTTTGTTCATTTGCTAGAAGAACGTTCGTCCAAACTGTGGAAAATGAGTTCAAACCAACATATCTTGGGAAATTGTGAGCTTTGCTGCCACATCACGAATGAAAAAAACATAATTTTTTTTTTTTTTTAATGCTTTGCTCGTAGGCCGTTCATCAACTGAAGCCTGAAATCGAAGAGCTGTCCAGCTCGTCCAACAATGTTTTCAACTATGTCCACGGCATGTCCAACTCTCTGAGGGAGAGGCAGCGAGTCTTCACTGGTAAGACGAAAAACTCCACCTAATATGCATTACAGTACAGTAGTCCCTTGTTTATCGCAGGAGTTTCCGTACCCCCCCCCCCCCGGCCCCAGCACTAAGTGAGGTTCCGCAAAGTAGGAACAGTAGTACAAGTAGTTTATTACTATATATATATATATATATATATATCAGACTCAGAGATTCTTTATTGTCATTTCACCACATGTGGTACATGTGTGCAACGAAATTATGTACACAGGGTCCCAGTTACATCTAACAATAAAATGTCAAAGAAAAACAATGATAACATCTAAGATACGAACTAAGACAAACATCAACTAAAAATACACTAAGCACTAATAGAATAAAAACATTACTTCGAACATCAGCACGAACATGAGTCTGTGTGAGCAGATGAGCGCACATGAACAAAGCAACATGAAACAGATCAGCAGCAACATGATGTGATTTTTCACAGTGATTATTCTGGTTAGAGATTCATGAGTCTAACAGCCTCAAGGTAGAAGCTGTTCCTCAGTCTAGTGGTTCTACACTTAATGCTCCTCAACCTCCTTCCTGAGGGGAGTGGGGCAAAGTGTGTGCTGACTGAGTGGGGTCCTTCATGATGCAGGTGGCCCTCTTCCTGCATCTGGAGGTGTAGATGTCTGTGATGGTGGGGAGACTGACTTCAACATCTTCTGTGCAGCCTTCACCACTCTCTGCAAAGCTTTTCTTTCTGCAGCTGTGCAGCTTCCATGCCACACAGACCACCTCGTCTCAGCCGTCTGAGGAAGTAGAGTCTCTGATGAGCTTTCTTCATCAGGCTGGTGGTGTTGTTGCTCCAGCTGAGGTTGTCATTCAGGTGCACACCCAAGTACTTGTAGCTGGAGACCACTTCCATCACATATCCTCTTATGTTCAGGGGAGTGTAGGTGTGTTTGTTCCTTCTGAAGTCCACAAACATCTCCTTTGTCTTCTTCACATTGATGTGAAGGTTGTTCTCTTTGCACCAGCTCTCCAGGTGTTCCACCTCCTGCCTGTAGCTGGACTCATCATTGTTTACGATGCATCCCACCACCGCTGTATCATCTGCAAACTTTACAATATGACAGCCTAGATGGGTAGCTGCACATCATACATGAGCAGAGTGAACAGGAGGGGGCTCAACACACAGCCCTGAGGGGAGCCAGTGCTGAGGGTTATGGTGGAGGAGGAGAAGTTGTGGATCCTCACAGACTGAGGTCTGTTTGTTAATAAGTCTAGTACCCAGTTGCAAATGGAGGGGCTTAGTCCTAGTGTGAGTAGTTTGTCCATCAGGGTTTGGGGGATCATGGTGCTGAAGGCAGACGTGAAGTCCACAAAGAGTATATGTACGTAAGAGTCCTTCTGCTGCAGGTGGTTGAGCGCAGTGTGGACCACAGAGGAGATGGCATCCTATGTTGATTGGTTCTTGCGGTATGTGTACTGGTCAGGGTTTTCTTCAATGTTGATGGTTGTTTTGATGTGGGTCATAACCAATATTTCAAAGCATTTAGTGACTATCGCGGCATTGACAATCTTCAGGCAGATTGGAACTGTCTCCAGGGTAAGTGAGGTGTTAAAGATGTCTGCCAGCACCTTGCAGAGCTGATTGGCACATTCCTTCAACACTTTCCCGGGGATGTTGTCTGGTTTGGTTGCTTTGTGAGGGTTAATCCTCCTGAAAGTACTCTTTACTTCAGCTGAGGTCATTCTGAGAATCTCTTTATCCGGTGTTCACTCCTTCCTTTATAATCTGTTATACACTTAATGCCCCTCCACATGCTCCGAGGATCTTGTGAGATGAATTGACCCTCGATCTTTTGTGCATATGTGGCTTTAGCCCTCTTAATACCAGCAACCAGGTCTTTACTTGTCCTTCTCAGCTCCTGTGAGTTTCCAGACCTGAAGGCAGTGTTCCTGGATGCGAACCTCTGCATTCAACCAAGGTTTTCTGTTTGGGTAGCTTTTAACATATCTGATAGTGGAGACGGTGTCAGCACATGTACTAATGTAACCCAGAACTGAGGATGTGTATTGGTCAAGCAATCCTCCATTTTCAGCAGCATCTCTGAAAACTTCCCAGTCTTTTCGTTCAAAACAATCTGTCAGTATGGGGCCACTGTTCTGGACCCAAGATTTAAATTCCTTTTGAACCGGTCTGGAGCGTCTCAGTGGGGGGAGGTAAGCAGGTACCATTAAGATTGAGATGTGGTCTGACAGTCTTAGGTGGGGCGGAGTTCGGCCTTGTATGCATCTTTTACGTTCGTGTAAACACGGTCCAGCGTGTTGTTTCCACCCCCCCCCCCCACACACACACACATATATATATATATATATATATATATCCATCCATCCATTTTCTTTCGCTTATCCGGGGTCGGGTCGCGGGGGTAGCAACCTAAGTAGGGAGGCCCAGACTTTCCTCTCCCCAGCCACTTGGGCCAGCTCTTCCGGGGGAATCCCGAGGCGTTCCCAGGCCAGCCGAGAAACATAGTCCCTCCAGCGTGTCCTGGGTCTTCCTCTGGGCCTCCTTCCGGTGGGACATGTCTGGAACACCTCACCAGGGAGGCGTCCAGAAGGCATCCTAAACAGATGCCCAAGCCACCTCAACTGGCTCCTCTCGACATGGAGAAGCAGCGGCTCTACTCCGAGTCCCTCCCGGATGATCGAGCTTCTCACCCTGTCTCTAAGGGAGAGCCCAGACACCCTGCGGAGAAAACTCATTTCGGCCGCTTGTATCTGAGATCTCATTCTTTCGGTCACAACCCAAAGCTCGTGACCATAGATGAGGGTAGGAACGTAGATCGATCGGTAAATTGAGAGCTTCGCCTTTTGACTCAGCTCTCTCTTTGCCACGACAGACATGTACAGCGCCCGCTTCACTGCAGACGCTGCACCTATCCGCCTATCGATCTCACGCTCCATTTTTCTCTCCTTTGTGAACAAGACCCCAAGATACTCGAACTCCTCCACTTGGGGTAGGACCTCCTCCCTGACCCGGAGAGGGCACTCTACCCTTTTCCAGCTCAAGACCATGGCCTTGGATTTGGAGGAACTGATCTTCATCCCGGCCGCGTCGCATTCGGCTGCGATCCGCTCCAGCGAAAGCTGTAGATCACGATCTGATGAAGCCAACAGGACCACATCATCTGCAAAAAGCAGAGACGCAATCCTAAGGCCACCAAAACGGATCCCCTCAACACCTTGGCTGCGCCTAGAAATTCTGTCCATAAAAGTTATGAACAGAATCGGTGACAAAGGGCAACCTTGGCGGAGTGCAACTCTCCCCGGGAACAAGCCCGACTTACTTCCGGCGATGCGGACCAGGCCCTGACACCGATCATACAGGGACCTAACAGCCCGTATCAAAGGGCCCGGTACCCCATACTCCCAGAGTACCCCCCACAGGGTCCCCCGAGGGACGCGGTTGAACGCCTTCTCCAAGTCCACAAAGCACATGTAGACTGGTTGGGCAAACTCCCACGCACCCTCCAGGACCCTGCTGAGAGTGTAGAGCTGGTCCAGTGTTCCATGGCCAGGACGAAAACCGCACTGCTCCTCCTGAATCCGAGGTTCGACTATCCGATGGACCCTCCTCTCCAGAACCCCCGATTAGACCTTACCAGGGAGGCTTAAGAGCGTGATTCCCCTGTAGTTGGAACACACTCTACAGTCCCCCTTTTTGAATAGGGGGACCACCACCCCAGTCTGCCAATCCAGGGGAACTTCCCCCGATGTCCATGCGATGTTGCAGAGTCACGTAAACCAGCACAACCCTACAACATCCAGAGCCTTAAGGAACTCTGGGCGAATCTCATCCACCCATGGGGCCCTGCCACAGAGGAGCTTTATAACCACCTTGGTGACCTCAGCACCAGAGATTGGAGGGCCCGACCCAGAGTCCCCAGGCTCCGCTTCCTCAGTGGAAGATGTGCCGGTGGGATTGAGGAGGTCTTCAAAGTATTCCGCCCACCGACCCACAACATCCCGAGTTGAGGTCAGCAGCACACCACTCCCGCTATAAACAGTGTTGGCACGAAACATGGTCCACTCAGACTCAATGTCCCCCACCTCCCTCAGAACATGTTCAAAGTTCTCCCAGAGGTGGGAGTTGAAACTCCGTCTCACAGGAGACTCGGCCAGACGTTCCCAGCAAACCCTCACAATACGTTTGTGTCTGCCAGGTCTGACCGGCATCCTCCCCCACCATCGGAGCCAACTCACCACCAGATAGTGATCAGTTGACAGCTCTGCCCCTCTCTTCACACGAGTCCAAGACATGTGGCCGCAGATCAGATGAGACGATGACAAAGTCGATCATTGAACTGTGGCCTAGGGTGTCCTGGTGCCAAGAGCACATATGGACACCCTTATGCTTGAACAAGGTGTTTGTTATTGACAATCCATGACGAGCACAGAAGTCCAACAACAGAACACCACTCTGGTTCAGATCGGGGGGGCGTTCCTCCCAACCACACCCCTCCAGGTCTCACTGTCATTGCCCACATGAGCATTGAAGTCCCCCAGCAGAATAAGGGAGTCCCCAGGAGGTGCACTTTCCAGTACCCCCTCCAAGGACTCCAGAAAGGGTGGATAATCTGAACTGCCGTTTGGTGCATAAGCACAAACGACAGTCAGAACCCATCCCCCCACACGTAGGCGGAGGGAGGCCACCCTCTCATTCACTGGGGTGAACCCAAACACACAGACACCAAGTTGGGGGGCAATCAGTACGCCCACGCCTTCTCAGCGCCTCTCACCAGGGGCAACTCCAGAGTGGAAGAGTGTCCAGCCCCTCTCAAGGAAACTGGTTCCAGAGCCCGAGCCATGCTTAGAGGTGAGTCCGACTATTTCTAGCCAGAACCTCTCAGCCTCACACACCAGCTCAGGCTCCTTCCCCACCAGTGAGGTGACATTCCACGTCCCAATAGCCAGCTTCTGTAGCTGAGGATCAGACCACCAGGGTCCACGCCCTCGGCCACCACCCATTCCATATTGCACCCGACCCCTTTGGCCCCTCCCACAGGTGGTGAGCCCATGGGAAGGGGGACCCACGTCTCCTCTTCGGGCTGTGCCCGGCCGAGCTCCATGGGTAAAAGCCCGGCCACCAGGCGCTCGCCCGCGTGCCCCACCTCCAGGCCTGGCTCCAGAGTGGGGCCCCGGTGACCCACGTCTGGGCAAGGGAACACTAGGTCCATTTATTTGTCTCATCATCGGGGTCTTTGGGCTGCACTTTGTCTGGTCCCTCACCTAGGACCTGTCTGCCATGGGTGACTCTACTAGGGGCATAAAGCCCCTGACAGCATAGCTCCTAGAATCATTGGGACACTCAAACCCCTCCACCACGGTAAGGTGTCAGCCCAGGGAGGGCTGTATATAAATAAATATATATATATATATATGTATATATATATATATAT